CCCCAAAACCCCAAAACCCCATGGCATTTTATACTAATCTATAAAAATTAAGTAAAAATGCAAATGCAAAAGCTTTCATTAATTAGATACTAAACATTCCTTAAGTTTATTTTCAATAACTTTTTCTTCAACTTTCAATCCAATTAGCAAAAATCTATTTTTGTATCCAATATCATCGCTTGGCGTTTATATATTTTATATCGCTCTGAACTCAAAGACTTCTTCAACTCTATTTTATTGAATAATAAAAGATATATTAATACTTACCCTTATAGAATAAACTCAGTTAGAACTCCATCTTCATTCTTGGCAATAAATGTGCCCTTGCATCTAAGTATTCTCTAACAATAATTTTTTTCCCATAAAATCTCACCAAACAATTATTCTAATCTGTCCTTATCCACAATTTTATCGCCATCAAGATCAAAATATACTGAATCTATATTTTCTATCTGCTTATGATGACTATGAATGTGTTCTTATGAACTATTTTTATGCTCTTCTTCATGATTATGAGTATGATCATGGCTGTCTAGACAACAGTTTTAATCCTATATTTATCTTATTTGCTATTTAGTGTCAATTTAAATCAAATTATCCAAAGGCATCTGCGAATAAGTACTCTCTAAGTATTTAACTTAGGGGTTTAGAGCATTGATAATCTTCTTAATTCTTTCTAAAATTGCATCTTTTTCTTCCCCTATCAGATCAATTTTATTAAGAATTATTTAGTCAGCATAAATCAATTATCTGTAAAGCAGATCTTTCTCAGTAAATTCAATGGGTTTATTCAATTCATCATATAGGACATGAGTGCTCTCCAATTTTTTATTGAAATTGAAAGTGTCAATTACACCCACAGTCTGAAGCAGTTCAATCTTTGAATTTAACCCATCATCTACCCAGAATGTTTAGATCACTTGGCATGGATCAGCTAAACCACTAGTCTCGACTAAAATGTAATCTAATTCAGGTTTTTTCTCCAACAACGTGTCTAAAGTTATAATTAAATCATCCCTATAATTATTATAAGATAACTAAATTACTTAGCAGCGCAGCAAATGCAACCATTAGGCATCTCATAAAAATCTTAGATATCATTTCCATCCTGGTCTTTCATTAAACTGCTTTCTAAACCCATTTTCTGTGAGAATTCGTTCTATATTACTGCTACTCTTTTATTTAACACTGGCTATTTCAAAACCTACTCTATCAAAGTTGTCTTGCCAGCTCCAAGGAACCCTGTGATTATGATCAGCCTAGCCTTCTTTAAATCTATATTGATGGCAGATTACGATAATTAAGTCTCCATTATTTAATCAATGATATTTAATAACAATTCATATTAATTATTATGCCTTATTTCATGGGGTTTTGGGGTTTTGGGGTTTTGGGGTTTTGGGG